CTGTCAGAGATCATCCTGGCAACTACGAGATATCCTACATAGGTGGAGGCCTTATCTGCCTTGGTATATTATTTGTTGATTGATTTTTCCTCTGGTATTTAAATATAGGGCCTGCTTGTGGGCAAAACAACCTTTTATGCTTTCCATTTTGTGACAAGCAACTTCAAACAGACGGGTTTTTTGGCAGCGCTTTTAGCCCACCACGGGCTCCTGCCGATTCTTTCCACTACGGAGCTAAATAATAGGGGCCGCACTAGAACGAGATGGGGCCATATTTTATAGGTGCTACCCAGAAACTTTGGCAGGGAGTCTTGTGGGTCTGTGGCTACTGTGGTAGTGAACTCAGAAGGTGGTGCAGTGGAGGGTTTTTTGCAAAGGAAGAATGGCGAAGGCTATTTCGGGATGAACGAGTTCCTGGTTTACGGCCTGGTTATCTGGGGCTGCAACCCATGACAAAAGCATGAAACAAAAAGAAGGATTGTAAAATCCCATTGAGAAGTCATTGTCTGCAGAGTTAACTAGTTAGAGGCATCTGTTCTCATCACTTGCAAGGTTAATTTTTTGCACTTTCATTGACCCTCTTCCAAGAGGGCACTTTTAAAGCACAGAGACGAGATGTGGTCCATTAACTGCCAAGCCCACCCCCGAGACATTGGTGACTTCTTCTTAGCCACTTCCAAATTCATTAAACGAGCCTTACTGAATCTGTGACTATCTGTGAAACCTGGATAAGCAGTCTTCCTGTGAAGCAGTCTTCCTGCGATCCTCTGAAGTCTGATGTGGTTTTGATGTGGAAATGGATGCTGCTGGGGAAAAGGGGAACCAGACTTGTGTTGCAGCCAGCTGTGTCCCCACCAGAGAAGTAATCTGTAACCTGCTACATCTGGCCTGGTTTGGCCTGGCCCTGGCCTCTGTGCTTAGTACACTGACATTAATGAGCCTCACAACATTAATGGTTACCAGGACAGAGTGGAGGGGACATTTTTTTTGGCAGGTTGTGCATTAATAATCTGACGTTTCTGTCGTCTTTGAAAGCTCTCTAAATCTCAGCAGCTTTGGGTGGTGTAAGCGTGTGCACAAATTATTATTTTTTTGTGCGTAAAAGTGTGCATATTTCTATCATAGACTCATTCTGGAAATATTGCTCATCCACTAAGCCTGTTATGCTGTCCCTGAAGTTTCGAAACATATAATAAAGATGGAAGGACGCTCTTTATGTCAGCCCTCAGTGAGGAAGCAGTCGTCTTTAATTATCGCTGCTTTTCATCCCTCGTAGCAAACACAACAAATACGTGCTCTTGTGCGACCTGGCAACGCGTCTCAGAGATTTGTTTGTAAGCTTGTTTGTTTGTGTTTTTCAAATCGCATGACCAAATGCTCTTTTCTCCCCAACCCCCCCCCCCCCCCCCCCCCCCCCCCCCACTTTTTTCGGAACATCAAGTGCATTTGAAGTCGCAATGTGGAAGTCATTAGCCACAAATCCCAACCAATATAATAACAGGGCGATTAGCTCTCTCTCAGCGGTCCTCTGCTGTTTCCTTTTTTTCCCTCTTGTCGCCGGGGTGGTGCAGTATTCTGTGAGGGCAGGGCTTGGTGAAGGGCGAGTCCTTCTCTTCCCTTTCCCGGATTTTTTCTATTTGTAGATCTGCATGTATTTTATAGGAGGTTTTTTCTCCCCCCCCCTTCTCTCTGTCTTTCATGCGGTGGTGGTTCTGTTTCCCATCACGGCCTATGATGAAACCACAAGAAAGCCCAGGCCCATGTGACGAAAGCACAACAGTTGCTTGGTGACATGGAAAGGGGGTGTCAGATTGAGGGCTGGCCGTGTTTGTAGGGGAGGCGGCATGGAGTGGTGATGATCCAATCAGCAGATGAGCTCTTAATTCACTCCAGGACAAGGATAAAGTGCTCATATCCACCATATTCTTTCTTTAGCTATATGGATGTGTGACCATCCTCACGGCTCTTAAATGGACCATCCATCTCTAACGTAGCCTCTGAGGCCTTGCAGATCCGCTACTTCCTTTTCCCACCACAAGCAAATGGTGTCTTGAAACCACCTGGAAGAATCTCCCATCCCCATATTCCTCCAGGGGGCAAAACGCTGCCATATTATTTACCATCTTGTCTTGGAAAGCTTAGTTGACCGCAGCAGGGCGGGATGATTGCCAGCAGCAGCTCGTTCCAAAGGGACCATGTGCAGACGAGCTCTGCTTCATCCTGAAACTCTAGAGTAAAGTCTAGAGGAAAGGAAACATTTACAAAGTCATTTGGATCTTTCTTTTCGACACAGTGTGTTGAGCAGCGCTTCGTGCGGCCAAGTTCAGTCATTTGAATACCCTCTTTTCGGGGAGAAGATATTTGAAGGACGTGAGCTCATTTGGGATGCAGTATGTTGCCCTGTCGCTACCTGATGTTATCCTCTGTGACTTGGGCAGTAACAGTCATGATTGCTTTTGGGGAGCAGTGACTCATGATTGTGCTTGTCCTGCTGCCAAGCTCTCAATAGCAGTGGTTCCTTCTCTTTTTTTCTGTTTGCCGTCAGTGCCAGCATCCGGAGAAATGTGAATTCAATGAAAATTAATCATTTGATTCCTGTCTTCCCCAATAAGTTCTGTGTATATTAAACCATACAAATCATAAAATGCAGGATAACTCATTTTAATTGAACACAATTGTAGCTTAAGGTCAATGACAAACCATAATTACAAGTTACTCCACTACTAAATCTTACTGTTTTGAAAAGTATTATTTTGCTGTGTGGTTATTTGTTTTCTTGTCAATATTATGTCTTTTAAACTGATTGAATTGTTCCCACTTTTAAAACGATTGCTCAAGATGGAAACATAGGTTGAGAGATAACACCGCCTCAGTGTAGGCGGTAGTGGCAATTCTCTCTGAACGACCAGTGGTCAGAATCATTAGTGAAGTAGTTCTAAAAAAGTGTTGAGTCAGGTAGAGCCATAACATGGAGTGGCAACACAGATTAACATTGATATCAGATCTCCACCTTATCTCTAAAGTCTTCTACAGGATAAACATGCTACATGGTGATCAAGTGCATCCTTTTCAATTGCACAATTTGCATTATTAAACACACCATGTTGTCTGGAGTGTCAGCCCCACGATAACTTGTGTCCCCACGACTCTTCATCGCTCCCTTGTGTAGAGAGCAAGAGCATGACCCCTAGTTGTACCACCATTAAGCTGTTTATTTTATTTTATGGAGTCGTGTTCTGCCTCAGACACTCTCCAGTGGATTTACGATCTGGTGGCTGCCTAGTTGGTATTCATTTGCTAATATAGAGGGGAGTCATTCACAGACAATAGAGTGGCATCATAATGCAGGAACCTGACACCCTGCATCTCCTTGCCACCGTTGAACTCCTGTCAGCCAGACGATGGATGGCTAACAAGCTTGACTGAATAACAACTTTAATTAAAAGCTACTTTGGCTGCCAGGGGCTTTGATTTACTTTAAAATTAAGAGAAGTATAGTAGAGGATGCAAGAGACTGAAATGCATGTTTGTGTACAGGTAACTGCTGTTAATATATCAAAGCATGGTAGAAAGTACGGGAAGCAAATGTAGGTCCCTTACTTATCTACATTAGACACATATTTTAACATCTGCAATCAACACACGGTTTCATTTGGGGGATGTTTGATCTCCTAAAAGAATAATTCTCCTTTAGGTCTTAATCGATGCTGCCTTCCTCCTCTAGACGTGTGAAACGGCATCTTAAGGTTGCCATCTAACGATAGACGCGAGCTCAAAAGTCGAGATAGAAGCCTGTGAAGCAAAGAGATTCCCCCCCCCAAAGAAAAAAAAGTATATAAGTTGAAAGGGGATGACAGAAGAAAGCAAAAGCAGCAGAGGAGAAAAGAGTTGTGAATGCTGAGAGGGAAGAACAGAGGATAAGATACGAGAAAGAGAAAGGAAGTTAGGAAACCTAGGACTGGAAGAGAATGAGAAAGAGCCTTGGAGCACGGCTGGCTCACTATGGGATGTAATGACTGTCATATTGCGATGCATTAGCTCATACTCAGCCCAGACAGCTCCACTTGATGAAAGGGGCCGGTCACTGGCTAACTGCATACATAGTAACAAGACCCCATGGAAACGAGCCACACAAACGACTATTGTTCTGTTTATTGAGTTTGATTGACAGGCATGAGTTGAAATAATTGTATTATGTATTACACTTCATAAGTCAACACTCAAAAGTGTCAAAGCACACACTGTAAAAGAACACTTCAAAGTGATGCTGGTGGCCATTGTCAGTATTTACTCTTTGCAACGTAATGTCATACATACAGTCTTTTTGTATCCCCTGCTGTTTACACTGAAGGAGAATCCTGCTCTGTCTATGTTTGAGTAATCATAACATAATAAATTAATATTTTCCATCGTAATGCAATCACAGAGGAATTCAGCTGTAGCAGTTCAAACTCTCTTGATGGGAGCCCCCCCCCACCCCTCCTCAAGGCTGAGAGCGATGCACAGTAATGGCTGATCACGCTCCAATCATCAGCCAATGTTTATTTGAATTCCCAATTTCAGGGAAGAAAAGCTCTCCCCCAGCCATTGTTTTGCTTTGAAACCAGCTCTCGCTTTTCTCACTCTTTCTGGCTTGGCCATATGGTAGTCATACATTTCCTAGAAATCCAAGCCATGTTTGCTTTACTTGTATATCTGTGGGACATTTGTTCTCCTGCGATGACATTAATTAAAACAATACAGTGATTGATCTTTCTTTACCCCATTTGGCAAGAGACTGGGCAAAAATTACAATTATTCCAAAGTTGTCGTCTAAACAAATGTTCCTAGCTTGAGAGTATTTCACTGATTCCACATTCTCAATAAAGCAGGTCATATTTGTGGCTGACTTTCTGTGTTCAAAAGATCTTGCCAAGCTTTTGATTTGCAGGATGTCTAAGCCCTTATTGCAGACACAAGTGATTCCTCTCAATTCCTCCATCTCGTTCCTCTTTTTCCAGAGTGTTACACTGCCAACGGAGAGGACTACAGGGGCTTCCAGAATCAGACCAGCCTGCATGGTGGTAAACCCTGCCTCTTCTGGAATGAGACTTTCCAGCACCCTTACAACACTCTTAAATACCCCAATGGAGAGGGGGGTCTGGGCAGCCACAACTTCTGCAGGTGAGTCCCTCATATTGTGCTGACCTACGGTAAATAAGTTCAAATAAAGCAACGGTTTTAAACTTTTTTGTGGATTTTGATCCTTTAATGCAGGGATGTCAAACTCAATTTCATCGCGGGCCACATTCGCATAAAGGTTACACTCAAAGGGCCGGTTGTAACTATATAAATATATAATATATATATAAAATAATGTATTTTATATTACATTATTGCCTCTGAATTGGATTATTATCGGATTGGATAATAACTTAGTAATTAACTACGTCTGAAAGCAGAAGTCCTGGGCAAATAATTGCAAGTCTCTTCAGTGCGCATGTCACGAAACGAGATGCATTGTGGGACATGTAGTTTATGGGCAACCTGCTTCTGTAAAGTGGCATGTAACCGTATAATAAACGTATTATATTCTTTGCAAGTTCTTGCGGGGCCACATAAAATGAAGTCGCGGGCCGGATTTGGACCCCGGGCCTTGAGTTTGAGACCCCTGCTTTAATGCTAAGTGGGACCAACTTTTAGAGGCTTCTAGACATATGTTCACCCAGGACATAGATTATAGAACTGAAAATGATGAAAAATGTCATTTGCACTTAAATCACAACATCTTAACTTTACCTCAGAGTTACATAACACCTTCTTAAACACATTGTGTATATAATCATTAAAATATACTTTGTTGGTATGAGTCCTGTGAGCAAATGAGACCCCCCCCCCACTAGTGGTGCCTCCCAAAATATTGTAGATTCTGAAATAACGGCCAAACCTACGTCACTCCACTCTATTTGTTTTACAAAGGCTACAGATGAAGATGAAGATTATTAAGACTAAGATTAAGATTAGTCCCAAAGCAGCTCCCTCTCCTTTTTTTATGTTGTTAAGCAACCTTCCTTTGTCCTGGAAATCTATCAGTTTTACCACAAAATCCTAAACAGTGACTTTCAATGTAAGACTAACAATCTTCTATGCAGTTATAAAGTGATTGATGTTATTGATGTCAAAATTCTTTGAGTAGCACCGTTCAAACTCAGATGGATACTGAGGTTTGACAGAGCTTTGAACTTCTTGGACAAAGCATTTGACTGTATGAATAATTTAGAAACAGATTGTGTCCTTTTTGCGAAGGTTCTGAGCGCAGGAGAGCTGCTCAGACATCTGTCCCTGAATATTTTATTGGTAGTCCCCGAACAGAACGTTTAGCCCCGGTCTTCACAAGGACACAAACACGCCTGAAAAGTTTGTCTAAGCAACTCTCCATCCATCATCCCAGGAATGTGAAGGGACACGGTGGCTTTTGGTGTCTAGGAAACACTTTAAAATCCGTCTGTCACAGTCCAAGTACGACTGTCGGCATTGTATGCACCAATGTCAAAGTTGTGTATTTGCCGGGAGCCACACTGTTCCGTGAGTCGGTTCAAATTCACCGAGACTACCAGAACAGTGGCTTGGCCAAGATCGCCAAGCTGTAGGAAACAGAACCACCCCCCCCCCCTCCCTGGCCCAAAGCCCCTGAAACATTTCTCTAAGTCACGGTTGTAAACTCATAATGCAGAAATGCTTTGAAGGAGCACAGAACAGATTAGTTTTTAACTTGAACTGGATGGGAATTTGGGAGATTTATGAGTGGGATACATGGAGAGGATCCAGGAAGGCTTTCCCTGCACATTAGGAGTGTATTATGTCAGAACAGCGGTCAAAAATGGACATATCCACTGTTTGGATGTGCCTGTTTTCTTGGCCCCTGGTGGAGTAAGCAGCTTTTCCAACTTACTAACAGCTCATAGCTTTGTTTCTTCCTGACAGAGGGATTTCTGTCACTTAGGGCTCCAGCTACAACTACTCCCAGTCTCTCTCAGACATAAAGAGTCACCCATCAGTGGGGCTATGGGGACCAAAGTGGCCACTTCATTATGAAAAGATGAGGGATGGCATGTATGGCATGTCTGCACAGGGTCAAGTATTTGTGCATGTGTCCTCCCACAAGTCTCTGTCTCTGCAGAGGAGAGGGTAATCCCGCTGTAATCAGAATCAGAATACCGTTAGTCCCACAGAGGGGAAATGTACATTTGTTACAGCAGAAAATAGCCAAAGACAGCTTAATGTTAACTAAGAAGCATGCATAAAACACATATTAAAAATTAAAAAGAAAATACAAAAATGTTTGACAATTTACAAAATACACATCCTGTAACAGTTCTGAATATATAGCAGACAGGTATATATTGCACAGTTATTATGGCATATTGCTCATATTGCACATAGTATATATATATATAAAGCATGATGTCTAATGTTAGATTAGTTTTATTGCAGAAAGTGAGATGTCTTAGACGTTGTTAATACATTTAGATCGCAAATAACCTTATTTACATTTTTACTGTACGAGTACTAGGTAAAATAATGGTCTTTCATATGAGGCTTACATTTCTCTGGACGTTTCTGACTAGAACACAATAGGTGGTAATACTTAAACAAAGGGTGGAGTTAAAAAAAAGAAAGAAGCAGAGCCAGGGAAGTTTTGGCATGTCTGACCCTGAGGCCAATTGGGGTTTTATGAGCCTGATCTGAGGCCAATTGGCACAGGTGTATAATGGGAAGCTGCACGTATTTGCCTTAATACACGGCTCCACGCACATATACAGTAAGGTGTTGAGAAGCAGGGAAGTAGAGTATTACACACTAACTTCTGGTCCCATCACTGCCAGTTGGTGATTTAGTCGAGAGGGCACTTCAGCAGTGCTGGAGAAAGACCCCTAACAGTCCCCACATTTCACTTTTATAGCCTGCTGTAAAAGAATGGGGAGAAACTGGGCAGAGGGGAAATGTCACATTGTTTGCCTGCAAAAAGAAAAGCAGCACAAAGCCTCAGGAAAGGACAACAGCTCGTGTGTCTTAGCTGAGACTTAGCGAGGCTCATTCCAACAGTGAATATCACAATACTCATCATCAGTGTGTGGCAATTCAGAATTCATTTCATATCATCAAGTGGAAGTAAATAATCAACTCTTATGTCTGGTATTGAGTTGAATATTGGTCATTCTGCAGCTTAACACTTTATAAGGGTTAACCCTAACCCTAGTTTTTTTCACCTTTTTAAGTCTTTTTTTTTACCTTTTCTGATACTTCACGACATTCAAAAGTCATTTATATTTCCTTTATTGTTCCTTTCAATCTACTATTCACAGACTGATTTTTAGGTTTTTATGCCCCGGTGCATTAGTACAAGGGTGTGAAGTGCCTGACGCTTCAGTGGGTGGTTGAATAGCTTTGCCAGCCATTTCCTGGCTATTTGTGTGTGTGTGTGTGTGTGTGTGTGTGTGTGTGTGTGTGTGTGTGTGTGTGTGTGTGTGTGTGTGTGTGTGTGTGTGTGTGTGTGTGTGTGTGTGTGTGTGTGTGTGTGTGTGTGTGTGTGTGTGTGTGTGTGTGTGTGTGTGTGTGTGTGTGTGTGTGTACATACAATTTACGAGTGTCCACTATGGCTTCTAATGCTTTTCCCTTACATAGATGAGATAATGGAAATGCCAGAGTGAATAGTGTTCTCCAAGTTGATTGTAATTGAATCTCTATGATGTCAGGTGCAAAGCTAAGGTCAAGCAAACTGCAGCCAAGTTATCCGCAGTTTGTGAGACTGTATTGAGTTCCAGTCGGCTTTTGTAAATTATGAAACAAATTTTGAGTTGTTTTTTAGCCATGCAGATAGTTTGGTTTTATTTGCGCAGGTATAGAGATTCAATTTTTTGACATTTCTGCATCCAACTCATAGGTTGTGATTTAGTGACTAAGTATAACTGAACATAGAATCAGAAACAGTTTTAGTAATTTCAATTTTGTTTCTGATAAATGATGTGTTGTTTGTCAGTTCGCCTTGCCAGAAGGCTTTAAATATTACAATACAAACGTGGATGCTGATGCTATGGAGGGGAAGCCATTCAAAGGTGTTAACCAGACGTTTTCAAATTCAAAACTAGTCAACAGTTCACCCACAATCTACTAGAAGATTGATTTTAATCTTCAAATTTCTTTCTCAAAAAGAGACATTTTCAGCTCTTCTCTTTAGCATCTCAAATCAGCAAATGTTCATCCATCCATCTTCTCCCGCTTATCCGTGGTCGGGTCGCGGGGGTAGCAGTTCCAGCAGAGAGCCCCAAACTTCCTTTTCCCTGGCCACATCAACCAGCTCTGACTGGGGGATCCCAAGGCGCTCCCAGGCCAGCGAAGAGATATAATCCCTCCACCTGGTCCTAGGTCTACCCCTTGGTCTCTTCCCAGCTGGACGTGCCTGGAACACTTCCCTAGGGAGGCGCCCAGGTGGCATCCTAACTAGGTGCCCGAACCACCTCAACTGGCTCCTTTCGACGTGAAGGAGGAGCGGCTCAACTCCGAGTCCCTCCCTGATGACCGAACTTCTCACCTTATCCCTAAGGGAGACACCAGCCACCCTGCGGAGAAAACCCATCTCGGCCGCTTGTATCCGCAATCTCATTCTTTTGGTCATGACCCATCCTTCATGACCATAGGTGAGGGTAGGAACGAAAATCATCAGCAAATGTTAAGCTTTCTAATTGGATTTTTTTTGCTGAATACAGCTTGGGAGTCAGGGTCAAATCTTCCTCTAACTAAGTTTGCATGTCATGTTATATTTATGTATGTATTATGTACCTGCGACTCTTTTCAAAAGAAGCCTGTATTCTCTGACACATTCTGTACTGGTGATTAGCTTCATGCCAATCCAAGCAAAGGGCTCCTGTGTGAGTCATTTTACATTAGTGTTTTTACTTAAGTGTAGTTAAATAGCTTCTCTCTTTGGTTGGTGGTAATAAGTCAATATCATCTTTTCTTCCCCTAATTTGTATCCTCAATGCTACTACGGATAATCCTCAGGCTTCATTGTCAACAGTTTTCATTTGAAGAGAACTGTTGCCGGTGAGGTCCATATATTATCCAAAGTAGGATCTCTTCCCAATGCTGTGAACAAGACATTCCATTCATCTCCATTGTAATGAGGTGAAGGCCAAAAACACATATCCTGAATAAATGAACCCAAAATGATCTAGATTCCATTAAAGGAGGTGAGAACATGTTAATTATGTAATTTATGCGTATGGATCCTTTGAAGACATTAGTGAAGAAGCATAGTGTTCACCAGCCACCCATGACACTGCGACATCACGACCTTGTGTCTAGCACTAGTGGACCGTGAGAGAACAACAGCAGACAGTGGACTTTACATATCGGCTCCGCAACCAACAAGCCCTCTTCTTCAATACATGCTTTCATGCAGCACAGCAGCAGGCAGCAGTTTGCATGCTAAATCATCCGAGTCAATTAAAGAGTCGTCTCTCATGCAGTAAATTGCCAGACTCTGATCTGCTGTTGACCTCAAATCCCAATCCAGACGAGCCTCTCACCTCCACTTTCCAATCAAAATTACTCCTATTTCCAATTCGGCAAAATTAGCTTTGATCTTGTTTTACGCCTTATTAGTTTTGCGCTCTCGAATCTCACTTCGAGCTTACCTCCATCATGTTATTCCTAGCATTTGCACATATACGTTTCATCCAAATGATTTTAGGATTTTTTGTTTTATAGTGCCAGGCATTTTTAAAAGTGATCGTAAATATTCTGATTAAGGTACGTGTAAAATGGTTATTAAAGGAAATCTTTTGAACAGCAGCCAGCCGGTTAAGAGCAGCTGTTTTCCTCTGTGTTCAGATGTCTTAGCCTTCAAAAGCAGGACCGTGGAGCCTGTGAGGCAAAACGCAATGTGGCTATAATTGGCTGCGTACCAAAGTGTGTGGCTCACTCGGAGCAAAATGAGTCAATCAACTTAATTGTGCCAATTAAGTGTCCAAACATCGTCTGTGATCCACCTCTGGGTATGAGAGTGTTTGAACAAGCTTTTCTATTTCGTAGCCAAGCAGGCCATCTCTGACGCACATGGATGTGAATGCAACAACCCTAAAACTACATACACACAAACACATACACTGGCAGCAACTTTTATCAGAGTGTCACCACAAGGGCTGAGGTCTTTCTGTGTGCTGCCAGGTTAAACGAATACATTTCAGTGCATCTAGGGCTGCTCTTATCGGCACTGTGGCACCTCGGCTAATCTGACACTCTCTCCTTTCCACCCTCCCCGGCAAACACACACACACACGCACGCACGCACACACACACATACAGTACACACTGTACACACACACACATACACACCTCAGGGCAGGGTTAATTATGTTTCTCTGTCATGTGGGCTGGCCTGTTCACCTCATCCTTTTGGAAGATGTTCCCATGCTTCTGCGCAAAGGGTGTGTTCAGATGTGTGTGAAAGAGAGGGGCGAAACACTTTGGGGACCAGTAGTTTGGGAGAAATCGCTTGGAGGGGCACCCAACGTCATTCACTGATCAAAGATACCCCTGGATCAGACATGGTGGTCTACTGAGGACTTTCTTTTGTCCACGCTGATGGCTGTAATTCATGTCTGCCTCCTTAGGGGGTGATTGAGAAAGCGCAGTAAATTACCTAAGTGGCTATAGCTGAGCTCTCGGGAGTCTTGTTTCAAACAGGGCTATTACACGTTGAAAGATATGAAAAAGAGAAGGGTATAGAGGAAGGCTATTTAATCCAATGTTTTGATGGTGGCACCCAGTCTTTGCTCTTTTTATTTCAGCTGTAGCCTCAGGATAAACAAACAGGTGTCTGCCTTCAAACCGGGTGAAGCAACAAACAGATCTGCGCCCATGATAAGGTGTCGATATTTACTGGAAAACAAATATGGTTTCCTTTGAACATGGGACAATTTCAGGTCGAGGCCGTGAGTTCTGGGTTGTTGTTGATGGCAGAATAAATAACATATAAAAACGTGAAGTCTTTCTTCACACTTTCCCATCGACGACTGGCTGTAAGAAAGAGAAAGATAACACTTTCCCTGATAAGGAAAGTGAAAAGCTTTGAGGCACTTAACTTTGAGTTCAGCCGGAAAAAGTATTTACAGCGACATCTTTGTCAATACCTCATTCTGACTGAAAAGAAACTCTGGATAGTGTTTTTAATGGGAGAAGAAAAGAAATGGAAACGCCCTTCACAACTTTGTTCACAAAGGGCGAAAGGGGATATTGTAGCGCCCCAGGCTTTCTCAAGATGCTACAATGAGATGTGTAAAAAGAGAAGAGAAAAGGTTTCTGGCAGTTATTGTCAGGTCCGGAAAAAAATATCGTCTTAGAGATCTTTTTCATTCGACAGGGTTTTATTTTACAATACCCTTATCCTAAAATAGATCTCAACACAACTGGAGATATGGAGAATGCACAAAGCTTTTAGGCATTTCCATGCTTCAATCCCACTTCTCATTGCTTTTGTAAGTGAAACTCATATGATAGGTTAAAAGTTAAAATCCCTTTTCCAGGTTTGTGTCTGGACAAGGAACAAAGGGCTTTCCCCCTGACCTCCAACCATCTCCACCCATCAAAGGCCCGTTGATCTGGGTCTTGACTGACACGCATGGTCAAGCCTGGAGAGCGTAGAGGAAGAGGCTAAACCAATGATGGGTGCTATTGGGGGGCGATTGACACAGCCACAATAATCTCCCTCTGAAACATTATTGAGCATTCAGCCCTCTGCAGAGCGGTTTCCAGTTGCTCTTTGTGAGGTTGTGGTTGGGCGCTCATATCCTTGCCCTCTTTATCTCTTTTGAATACTCACCACGACCTCAACACAACGCTGCGCATCAGTTTTTGTTAAACCCTTGTTGTGTGTCCTCTTGCTATCATAGTGTTATAAAACCGATTTTAGGAGTTGCTTTTCCTTTATATATTTCTTATTCTTATATAAATATGTAGTTGTTAGAAAAGCTGAACATGGAAAAAAGACTTTGAATTTGATTGCAGCTTAGAAATGCTACCTGTTGTTAAACTGGCAGACTGTTCCTGCAATGCTCCACTGGGATGTCCAGATCACCATCTTAAAATCACAAAGAGACTGTGCAGTTTTTAATTTTGAATGTATTTCTTGATTAAGCTATTCATCACTTTGAGTATTGACTTTAAAGATATTTGTGGACAAATAATCAAATGTTCCTAAGTCTGAGGAGACAACATTAAGTCTTCACATTTGAAAAGCTGGAACCAGAACATTTTACAAAAAAAGAGAAAAATACATTGTTTGATAAAGATATTATAGTTTATAATTAATTATTTCTGTCCATTAACCAAATAAATAATAATAAATAAATACAACTCTGTAGGGACTTGGTTTGGGACCTGAAGGGTTGCTGGTTCAAGTCCCAATCGGACCAAAATGTGGGGTGTGGACTGGTCGCTGGAGAGGTGCTATTTTGCCCCCTCTCCATTAGTGCATGTCTATAGGTCCTGTTTGTGCATGTGTGTGTGTGTGTGTGTGTGTGTGTGTGTGTGTGTGTGTGTGTGTGTGTGTGTGTGTGTGTGTGTGTGTGTGTGTGTGTGTGTATTTCGGGCCGGTGTGTGAAATTGGAAAATAACGGGGATTAATGTAATTTAATCTTAATTGACCAATATATCAAATGTAATCAATCAATACAAATCAACATACTTTAAATAAATATTAATACCTGGATTTTGTGTTTCTTTTCATTAAATTGTGAAATGACTGATCATGTTGAATCAAAGTATCTTTTGCAAAAAGATCTGTTTTCCCATGATGTCCCCAATTGTTTATTTATTTTTAGATGTGAGAAACCGGAAGGCAAAATCGATATAAAAGATACATCCTCAGTAATAATAATAGGTGTGCACTTCACTTTAACCCTTCGCTGTCTGCAGGAACCCTGATGGGGACGTTCAGCCGTGGTGCTACATCGCAGATCACGAGGACGGGATCTACTGGAGATACTGCGACATCCCAACATGCAAGAGTAAGAGATCATTGACACTCCTTCATCTTTCCTTCCCTCTCTCTGAGCCCTTCTATGCCCTCGGGGCCGTATCATGGGCACACGGACCGGCCATTTCCATTGCTATGCTCATCTGCTCGCCTGCTATGAAAAGCTTTTATAGACTGTATGGCTTGTACACAACTATTATCATCCCAAAAATTTCTCTAATTGCCTCCCGTCACCCCTCCTCCTACCAAGCCTGTGCCTGCCCTCACTTTAATGCGAGCTGTCAATCGCTCCATGTGTTTTCGCATGTGTGTTCAGAAGTTTCCCCTTTGGCTTTGTAGCTTATTTTGACACATTGTTTAATGTGAGTGTTAATGTGCATCTACCTGTTTGTGGATAAATATGTAAGTTTAGTGCACAAGTGGGTGTGAGAGTCCAGTAGTTGAATAAATGTGTGTAGTGTGATTGTTTAAGTTTGGATATTCGCTGCTTTTGTCTTCTCTACCGGTTTGGCACACATTTACAAAGACAAGCCTTCCTTTAATCCCCTTACTTTCATTCCTTCCACCTTTTTAATCACTGCTGTTGAAAACTGACTAAGGGTGGATCAACCTACACTGGTTCTGATGCCAAAGATGAAAGAAATACAGAAGAGGAGGTTAAGATATTGCGATTAGCCGCAAGCATGTCACATGTGCATTTTTCTCACGTTCTTCCCTTTGCAAGGTAGATTAGGTTTTATTGCATTCTTTTAATCGCAAAAGAATCAGATAACTGAACAAAAATCAACCCAAGCAGAAGTCAAACACTCTGTTTCACTCAAACAAAAATGTATTGTCAACCATGTATTTTTACTCTCCAACTGACCTATACATTCTTTGATATATAATGTGTTAGGAATTAGGTCTTAGTTCTTTATATGCTTTTGCAATCCTTGCCACAACAAATAAAAGCCTTGCTTTAAAGGATTACATTCAGCCTGTGTTCGAACTCGAGGTAAAAAGTGGACATATTGATCAGACAGTGTTCGTGTTGTGGGCAAATCTGAGACTTTGAGATGTTGTGAGTTTTCCCTGAAGTAGGTAACGCCTGGCCTTAAGAAACCCTGGAGCTATCCCACCATTATCTTGTCTGAGTAGCATGCTCGACTAAAGCTTGCTGTTTGAATGGATTGCGTGTTTATGTGTATAGGAGCTTGTGTGTATCCCATTAGACTTTTGACTGACCTATTTCAGACAACTGTCCATTTAGCCCGGTTTTTCTAGGCTAATGTCCCCAGCCTTTGTGTTTTCGGATGAAAGAGTAGCCCATGTTGTCTCTTATCCCTTATCTTTGGTTGAATTAGGCCAGCTTTTGCTTCGAGATTGGTTTGCCATGTGCTGGTTCAGCCTTGTTCTTCTCCAGAATCCAGCACTGTGCAGCGAGAAACCCATCCCAGCGATCGAGGACAAAGACACTTTGATGTGCACGGTAGGAACTCCTCTCAGCAGTGTGCTGTATAACCAAGAAAAACTTGTTGCTCAACTGTCTTTTCTGCAGAAAAGGCACATTGCAGAGGCTGTGAGGCTTTTCCTTTGTAGGACATTAGCCGCTTTCACACCAAGTACTTTGCCGTACTTAGTGCCAGCACTTAGTTCCCCCATGGAACTAAGTACAGATCGCGTTCACACCGGAATAAGTTCCCTGAGGGAAGATTATGCAAATGAAGCCGCTGACGTCACTTCTTCTTTTACATTACATTACATTGCATTTAGCTGACGCTTTTATCCAAAGCGACTTACAATAAGTACATTCGACCAGGAAGACACAACCTTGAAGAAAACAGAATCATATAAGTACATCAGGTTTCATAGAGCCAAACATTTCAAGTGCTACTCAACTGGCTTTTGGTAAGCCAGTCCTTTATTAGTATAAAAGTGCTTCGTTAATAGTTCTATCGCTCGAAGTGGAGTCGAAAGAGATGAGTTTTCAGTTTGCGCCGGAAGATGTGCAAGCTATCTGCCGTCCTGATGTCAATGGGGAGCTTCATTCCACCATTCTTCTTCTTCTGCTTTGGGTTACTGGCAGGCCGCAAACCACTTCACAGCGATACTGCCACCCGGAGTCCCCTGGCCGGAAGTCCCCGGAGTTGGGGAAGGCTTCAGTAGAAGCTGCTTCAGCTGCTTCAGCTGCTTCTACTGAAGCCTTCCGAGTAATCGCCAGAACGCAGACACCTCCTCATCTCCACCGCACCAATGTTTCTTTTGTGTTGCCATAAGTTATTCTCTCTCTGTTGGTGCACGGGGCTAATGCTAATGCTAATAATGCTAATGCCAGCAAATACAATGGCGGCTTCACAAAACTTTTCAGAGTTTTGCGGAGCGTGGTTTGCAATTAGCCCAGCCAATCGAAATTGGTACTTTTTTCTCCCCAGGATAGTCCCACCTCTCTAGCAGGCACTACAAATCGGGGTAAAAGTTCTCGGAACTAAGTTCTCTTTTTGGTGTGAACGCAAAAATTCCAGGCACTATCGGAACTAAACGGGAAAGTAAAAGTACTCCGGTGTGAACGTGCCTAATGCCCTCAGAGGAAATACTCATTTCAAATAAAATTCATGTTGAGTATAATGATGAGAATTGTAAAGTTAGACTCGGGAATAAAAAGAAGGTGATCAATCAATTTAAACACTCACATCTCCCACATTCTATCTATTCAGTTTATTCACATTTCGAACACCCTTTATGGCTTTAAGGTGCTCCTATTTCCCGGCAAAGAGCTATCAAATGGTGTCTACATGAACTATCCTCTTTCTGTTTCAGCATTTAAAATGATCCATTTTAAGAAAAGGAGATGAAGATAGCTCTGAGCCAGGCACCCAGTGTCAAGAAACATGCCTGCTCATTGGAGACGGTTTCTCCCTGCAGGGATACTAGGCAGATTTCAGACACCTATGCTCTGTCTCGTCTATTGTGAAACCACAATCGCCACGTGGTGCCTCACCTTCTGCTCTCAATCTGCTGCGTTTGAAAGCTACGGCTGCCAAGTGAGAGAATACCCACGCTCTGTCAGTGTCAGTGTTCCCAACAACAAAAGGCTGAAAAACACAGCGGTGTGCCAGAGGAAGGGCAACAGTGTTATTTGTTTTCATTTCGTCTGGTTTTTGTTTTGTCTGGGCCTCCGTTTTGTCTACTTTTCTGCTTACGTTTGATGTCGCGTGGTTGGTAGTTGGTGGCCGCTTCGCTGAGGCACCTGGAGCCTGCCAACAGCCTGTCATCTAGGGTCCTGCCACCCTGGTGAAGGTGACACACTCTGTTAGTGTACGCTGCCAGGCAGGTCACATGAGGTCAGAAACACATAGTCGGACATGGTGGATTATAGTGTACTGTAGATCACAACATTAGTAGATCCTTGTAATCCCTTATGGCAGCAGTTATCGTGCGCCGGAAATAACCATTTTAAAAAGCCATGCTGTCAAGGCACATCTACGACTGTGGAAATTGACATGTTCAAGGTGGAACCTAGTTATCAGCCTTTCTAACTTATTGAAGACTTACATTTTTAAAGTCTCAAGTTATTTATATTTTGGTAAATATCATTTCATTGCGAAGTTTTCCCTGCTGTTTAGTTCAGTTTTATTTGATGTATTTCTATCAGCCCTCAGTGCGTAAGGCAGAGAAGGCTTCATGTTGTTTGACTTAGCAGCGCTGATCTAATGAGGTGTAAGGAATTTACCAGTGCAGCCTCTGGCAAACTATAGGGCGTAGAGGTATAACTTCAGCAACACGTGGAATATACCAAGCAACTTAATTGTTAGACAAACGAGTTTCGGCTTGTGGCCTTGATCAGGGTCATTATGCCAGAAGTCCTTTCTCTACAGAACAGTTAGTTCACCGGATAGAACATAGAGTTGACATCTATAATTAAGGGACTCTAATTATTTGTTTTCAATGATGTAGTCAGACAATTCCCAGAAGGTCAACATCAGTTTTCAGTTTACTTGTGTTGAGGCCAGTCTGCTAAAAAATAAGCTTAATTTAGTACATTTTACTCAGTTGTGATAAATAATGTATTACCATTTATGATTGACAATATGGCAAGGAATTGTTTGTAAAGACAGAAAATATTGTAGGAATATGATCAGGTCAATTGATAATGACATCTTTAGTTAAACATATCAAGCATTGCGGCACTATATGTATCACTGTTGTGACATAAGGCCAAAATAATCGTCAATTGACTATCAACGTTCCTTTTTAAGAGTGTTGTTTCTGGAAGGACTTTTTGTTTTAGTGTGGCTCTTTTCAGCTTGCATGTGCCCTGGCTTAATTTGATTGACACAGAGTGAAACTGTCAGGGTGAAGTCCTCGAGCGTTTGCCAAGACAAAGATGCTTTGATGTGCATGGCAGGAGCTCCTCTCAGCAGCGTGCTGTATAACCTAGAAAAACGTGTTGCTCAACTGTCTTTTTCTGCAGAAAAGGCACATTGAAGAGGCTGTGAGGCTTTTCCTTTGTAGGACAATGCCCTCAGAGGAAATGCTAATTTCAAATAAAATGCATGTTGAGTATAATGATGAGAATTGTAAAGTTAAACTCACATCTCCCACATTCTATCTATTCAGTTTTTTCACTTTTCTAACACCCTTTATGGCTTTAAGGTGCTCCTATTTCACAAGAGTTTGTAAAAAAGTTATTTTGTAACTTTAACTTTAAATATAAACTCACCAGGTACTGAGTTTTCTGTCTTTCAAAACTCATTGCAGTATGTATGCTCTTATTTAATTCCCACTATACATCTTATCAATCGGTAACAATGTACTTTCAATCAAGTGCAAAACATATTCTTAACATAGGTATTTCAATTGTATGCTACTTCTAATTGAGTTCATTTCAGAGTCTAACGCTGTACTTTTTATTCCACAACATTAATTTGAAATATTAAAAAAATACCAGTTACTTTGCAGATTCAGAGTTTAAATACTTATATACTGTAGTATACTGTATTATTCTTAAATGGGCCATTCTGTATAAGGAGTACTTTTAATTACCTTTTTCTT